GAGAATGGTAGCAGAAAGTGTGCGTATCAAGAAGGAAAATAAAAACAGTTGAGTTAGCGTTGCGCCGTGTTTACACTGTTCTGGTAAGCAGGAAATACATATGCATGTACCAGCTACAAAATATAAATACAAAGCTGACTTTGTAATTTTGGAGATTCCCCATAAAAGTTAAATGCTCTTATATTTGCATTCCAAGATGGCACTGCACAATTTATGAGTGCACAGTAAAATTCATTCTAACAATTTAAAATTTTAATTTTCCATTACTCAGAATGATATTGAGAAGCAAAAAATTTAAAAATCATGGCAAGTCCAAAGAGAGATAGCAGAAGAATTATATAGAAAAGTTTTCTTTGTTATTCAGAATGTACAATGTTCTTTTCCCTGCTTTTGGGACAAAGGACTCCACATTTTCATTTTGCACTGGATCTCACAAGTGATGTAGCTGGCCTTGACTGAGCTAGTTTAAGCAGAAAAATATTTTAAAATACTATTTAGCTTGCCAATCTCTGAGAGGCAAGCAGAGAAGCAGGCTTGGGTAAAAACATCATCCAGGATAGTTGGGAGCAGACCGAACCGAGAACACATCATCATAGGGCTGTTCTAGCAGAAACCCATTCCAGCACCACCTGCCATCAGCACCCATGACTCCAACAGCAGATGCCAGTGCTCTGCCCCCACTGCTCAGAACCAGATACTCCCATTTGCCAGAAGATCCCATCTCACTGAATAAAGCTGAAGCATTATGTTGCTCCCTTTCACATCTAAGTCTTGAATGGGTGCATATGCTTGCTGGGAACTAGGTCAGGTGCTAGGATGGGCCCAAACTGGATCCTGATGGTTAGTATCTTTTCCCAACTAACTCTTCATTGAAGCCACTTTGGTAGCTTAGGACTGTTTATACTGTGAAAATAGGCTGATGCTACTCTTACGATCCTCCCCAGTCCCTATTGCTAAAATATTCACCCACATACCACTCACTGGCCTTCTGCCAGCACTAGGTGCAAGAGAGTCTGGCTACTGTAGATTTTTAATTTTCCATCTTCTAAAGTACATATTAGCAAGCTAGAAGGCAGCTGGCTGAGTGTTGAATGAGCCAGCCACCTTAAGAGCATTTGCCACAAAATTATGGCAGCTATTGTCTTGTGTCTTAGATGACAAATTGTTAACGGGTGGATGTCAGGAAGTGAGTAAACATTTAATAGCATTGACAGAAGGCTGGGCAGGATTTTTACTAAGTGATATACACAGGTCAATAAGAGGAGCACTGGTGGCACTTTTGGGGAAGTGCTGGACTGTTAACTATGGGCTTGGTGGTTCAAACACACTAGCTTCTCCTCAGGAGAAAAATGAGGCTATCTGTTCCCAAAACGATTTAAAGCCCTGGATTTAGAAACCCTATGTAGGGTCACTCAAAGGCAGTGGGTCTTTCATTTTATAGATCAGAAAGAAGAAAATAAATATTAACTGACATCACTAAAATATATTTCTATGATACTAGGCCAATAAACTCCACAAGGAGACCATGTCTATCTTGTTTTCCACCATATCTTAAATCACCTGACAAATAGTATAAGGGGCTTCAGAAGTTTGTGACAAAAAATGAAATTAAAAGATAACATTTTTTCCATGAACTTTTTGAAGCCCCTTCAGTCGCTCAACTCCACTGAGTATAGATTCTTAAGAGTTCAATTTTGGCATTCCTTATATGGTATGCAGGCAAGATAATTCCAAGTCATTCAAAGTTAGACTAAGTGTCCACAGGTGACTGCTAAAACTTTCACATACCTTATCTCATTTCAGCCTTACATCAAGATGAGGAACATATCAACAAAAAAATTAAGTGACTTGTTTAAACTCATTTATCTAATTAATGATGATTTAAAATCTTAATTATATTACTCAAAATTCTCGTGTTTTTATTTCATGAAGAGTATTTTTATAAAACACAATTGTGAACCATCAGGTCTACAATTTGAGAATCAACTTAAATGTCATGCAATGTACACAACATCCTAATTGCAACTTACAAATGTTTTTCTCAAGAGTGAAGGTTCTTTATTTGGGAGTTCTAGAAGATATGAATCATAAAAGCAACTGCCTTTACAATTGTCAAAGTAAATAATGGTAATTCAATAGACACCAAGTAAGGCAACCTCTTTTAGAAATAGGTAATGTTACTTTGATGTATTTCCCTTTCTCTGAATTAAGAAATATTGGCATGTCTACCACAATAACGAGAATGTTGAAACAAAGTGGATTGAACTAGATTTTTTTGTTTCCCAGCATATAAAAGTTATGTTTACAGTTGTGCTGGTCTGGGTAGACTTGAGAAACAAATTCATAGACACTAATATGTATATAAAGAGCTTTATATACAAGAGCAATTGAATATTGAGAAAATATGCCAGCCCAGTCAAGATCAAGCCCTTAAGTCCGACATTAGCCCATATGTCCAATACCAACCTATAAAGGCTTCTTCAGACTCACACAACACATGCAATGACTCCGAATGCAGGAAGATCACAGGCCAGGGGGTGGAGGGTCTTGCGGATCCAGTGGCAGTGGAAGCATCTCAGCGCTGGCAGGGATCTCCACAAGGTTCCTTCAGCTCCAGGGTTCTTAGCGTAGCTCCATGGGTCCTCTCAACAGGAATGTCTCTCAGGGAATGAGCTGGTGTCCAGTCTCCAGGGAGCTATTTATCTCCTTAGTGCCTCCAAATGAGGTCATCAAGCTGCGACCTGACTGACAGGCTAAGCTCCACCCCTTCAGTTAAGTCTCAAACTGACAACAGATTATGTAATTACCGCACACAATAGCCTAGTAAATTTAGTACAACAGCATCATGAAAAAGTTTGAGCTATTCTAAGAAGTACCAACATTTGTGTGACAAAGTGAGCACATGCTGTTTGAAAACTGGCAACGGGAGACTTACGAGACCCCAGGGTTGCCATAAACCTTAAATTTGTAAAAATGTCATACCTACAACCCACAATAAAGCCAAGTGAGATAAAATGATTTATGTCTATAGGATAATTTAAAAAATCTGGATGCCCTTGATTATATTATCCACTGCCATTGAGTTGATTCCAATTAATAGTGACCCTACATTGTTTCCAGACTATAAATCCTTATGGGAGCAGTTGATAGGTTTGAACAGATGACCTCTAGTAAGAAACCTGATACTTAACCCAGTGCCATCAAGACTCCTCATGGTACGGTGTTTGCTTTTTCAAATTTTATAAAGCTTAAGAATTATAGGGTGGGCTATTGTCAGATTTTCAGCCTCAATCCCCAAACTGTGACCCCAAATAAGTCAAAAGTTAAAATTTAAGAACACTCTTGCATTATAAAACACTTTAAGAATACAAGTATAATGCACCTGACACCAGTTTGCACCAGGTATATATTTTATTTTATGGAAAATAATGCATTTGGGCATTATCTTATTTGTAAATCATTTCCACAGTCTTCTTTAGCTTCTAATCAATTAAAGGGCACGTTTAAAAATATTATCAAGTAATTTCCTGTATATCATTAGAAATATTACGAACTTTAATCAAGAAGCCTTGGTGCCTAGTGGATCACACACTTGGTTGCTAACAGCAAGGTCAGCAGTTCAAAACTACAGGAGAAAGGTAAGACTTCCTGCTCCCATAATTACAGCCTCAGAACCGCACAGGAGCAGTTCGACTCTGTTCTGTAAGGTTGTTTTGAGTTGGAGTGAATTCTGCATGTTCGAAATTATGCTTTGAGGTTGAAAAGTGCAAGCTAATTTACTGTGATAATCAGTTTCAAATTCCTTGGAGGATAAACTCTTATTAGCATTTATATATCGTGGCACTTAAGACAGCTTATTCTCAGTAACCTGTTCCTTTGAGGATTTTCGCTTTCCTATGTGAAGACCCACCAGATTTCAAATGAGGACCTATCAAAGTACTTCAAATATATAACCCACCAAACATTAACCCCCCGCCCCTGTATAAATAACATTAAATGAGAAAATATGCTCTCTAATTCGTGTAGCTTGAAAACGACCATAGTTTCTGCCTTGTATTGCTTAGAAGCTTTTTAAGAAGAAATTCGAAGGCTGTTTTTTGTTTTGTTTTAAAGACAAACTCTCTCATTTTAGGCATGAGAAAACTGAGGCCAGAAGGGACTAAAACCTACGTCCAAGGTCATGCCCACGACCAGTGCTCGGGTCACACAAAACCCATCCGTTCCAATGGCCAACTCTGCCCCATCGGTGCCTGTCTTCATTCCATTACAGCTCCTCTTCACTTTTGTCTTGGCTCGGTTAGAGCTGCTGTTTTTCTTTCTTTCTAACGGTCCTTAATCACCACTCCCCCCGCCCCCGCTCCCCAATTGGCCTTCGGGTATAAACCGCGCAAACCATACTAATGAGCAACCCCGGGAGTCCCCAGCTAATGCAGTGTCTTTCACCGGCCTTCTCCTTTGGCCAACAATTTTTCTGCAAGGCTCTTAATCCCTCAGCCGGTTGGGGGAAGGTCGGGAAGAAGGGAGGTCACCAGGAGCTGACGAGCTCTCACGTGTACACGCGCGCGCCCGCAACGCAGCCTGGGGGGGCCGTGGCAGAATCCAAGGAAAGAAGAGGGCGAGGGAAAACACTGAGGTTGGAAATCCCTATGCATCGCATTTGCCAACCCTGGCAAAGCTGAGCAGAACCGAACGTGAATAAATCTCATTAACGGGCCCGGCGCCGACACTGCAGCAAAGCTGCGAAGGCGGGGCCGCGGCTGCCCGGGCGGCACGTTCGAGGAAGCGCCTGGGCGGCCCTTTTATAGGCCGTAGCTCGCGCGGGCGCGCGCGCGCGCGTCCCTCCCCCCGCCCCCGGCCACGCGCGGGAGCCGCGACGTTACCTGAGACGGGCCCGCCGCGCCCGGCCCCGCCCACTCCGCTGCCCGCCCTCCGTCCCGCGAGGCCGCAGCGGCACGAGATCTGCACCTTGCCTTCCTCCTCCCACGGGCGGGTTTTCTTACCTTGTGAAAAGCCCTCTTCGCCATTGCCCCCGCCTCCTCTGCTGGATGTGAAATGGCGGTCGGCGAGCCGAGCGCGAGAGCCGCCGCTCCGGCCAATCCCGCGTAGCCGCCCAAACCGCGCCGAACACTGGCGTTCCCCTCCTAGCCCATCTATGTCATCGGCGCTCCGCTGCCCCCACCCAGGTGGCCGTGCTCACCGGCCGAGTCATCGATCCCTCGCGCCGGGCGC